ATGGAGGAGGCCGAGAGCTGTGGAGGAAAGTGCCGCTGCACCCCTGCCCCTTTTTTTCTGTCCTTCTGCAGGAACTTGCTGAGAGTTACCGTTTCTGTAGGAAACACCAGCTCAGTTGCACATCACCAGGCTGCAGTGCTCGTTCTGCTTCTGCTCTCCCCATGGTGCTGTTTCTTGGTGTTTAGTTACAGACGGGCTGGGGTTTGTGGGCTCACAGCTCTTCTCAGCTGCCTCTTGTCAGAGGTGAGCAGATGCACTGCCTGTTGCTCTGCAGAACCGGCTCTCTTGTGCGGCAGCTGCCCAAAAACCTGGAGATAGAACCTCAGCATATGGACGGATCGGGGTGAAAAGCCAGTTTCTGGGGCTGAGATGATTGATTTTTAACAGTGCAGCTGCTCTCCTGCCTTCCCTGGGGTCCTGCTGCTGGCCCCCGTCCCCAGCAGCTCCTGCCTCATGAGTCCCACCAGGAGATGGAGATGTGCAGGGCCGGGGAGCTTTGGCGTTGGGCCCTGTCTCTGTTTTCATGCGAGGTCGAATCCGTGCGGGCGAGAACGCTGCGCTGCTCTTGCCACCTTCCCTTCCTCCGTCGTACCGAGCCGGCAGCCCCGCAATAAAACACGGTCAGGTTATGTGGCTGGCGCTGGGCTGCTTCCATTTGCTTTTGTAATCCTCACTCAGAACCAAAGAGGAGAAAAACCCTGAAAGCAGGGTAAAAAAACAGGGAAATAACCCAGCTGCACCGTCGGCCTGATCCAGCCTCCTGCCTCCCTGTGCTCCGATCCACCGTACCCTGAGGGTGGTGGGATCTTGCTGCCCTAGGAAGCGCTGCTGCCACCGTGGGCATCTCCGGTGCCATGTGGGCTCCCCGAGGCAGGAGAAAATAAGTCTTTAATTAATTTGAATAGTTTTAAACATGATTGTTTCATAATAACTCTTGGCTAGCTGTCCTAATTATAATAAATACGCATCAGAAGGCTGGATTAACATCATACGAGCAAGGTCAGTTTTGATGCTTTAATTTGTCTGCTTTGCCCTGCTGCCTGTAAGCGGAATTTTGCTGCAGCTTTGTGTGCAATTTCTTTTGTTTCAAAAGATATTGTCAGTTCATTTTTAGCAGTGGAAATATGCCAGTGCTCTACCTTGACTGTTACTTAGCAAGATGGATACCGGAACCTTTCCTTTTGTGGCACAGATAATTTTGCCTTTAATTAAAGTGTGTGAGCACTGTAAGGGAATGAGCAGTGGGGTGGTGATTGGTTTTGCATCCGAACCAGCCCCCTGAGGTCTGAATGCAGCTTGCTCGTGTCCCGGGCACGTGGGAATGCGTTCGTGTGATTCCAGCTCCTCATAGCCGGGGGAAAACTTCACCTCGCCCATCCTCGTGGGATCCTCGTGTGGATCCGGGAGGCTCCACAGCTGAGCCTTGGGTTCCCCTGGTCCGTGAAGCTGGGAATGACGCTCGTCTTTGCACTGAGCTGGGTACCTGGGGCCCTTCTTGGGACGAGGGTCTGTGACGGGCAGTGTCCATCCCGCTGGATACACTGGAGCTGATCCACGTCTCCGTGGAGTTTGGCAGCCCCTTTGTCAAAGCCTGACCCGTGGGGCGAGTACTTGGAGAGGTGTCAGCTCCTTGCTAGCAGGCCCTGAAATGAGATTTCACTCTGGCTTTAAATGTTGGGCCCTGTTTGGTTAAAGCAAAAGACAGGTTTGATCTGAGGGACTGCGCCATAGTGCAGGAGCTCCTGACATCTCAGGTTTTCAAGCCGCGCTTGGAAGCTCCAAGGTTTTCCCAGAGGGAGAATTTGGGAAAGCTCTGGCATTGGTGACATGTTTCTTTCTGCAATCTCTGTCTTGGGGAGTGCGGAGCCGCGTTGCTCGTGCCATTACCCCTGCTAGGAGTGCGCTGGTTTCGGTCTTAGGTTTGGGGCCACCTTTGCCATTTAGATAGCACAGAGGTGCCTGTAGTGCTTTTCATTTAACTGCCTTTAGTGACAGCAACCTTGGAGGCTGCTGTAGTAGAACCGGTGTCCCGTTATTGAAGTGTTGTGCTCAGATGATAAGCTGTACCCAAAATACTTCGGGGAAAAATGTCATCATCTGTGACTATCCTGGCTGAGAGATGTCTCCTTGTTCTTTCTCTCTTCTAAAATAATTTCCAGCTGGTTCTTGTGTTTTGGAGGATCTCTCCTATGAATGTGGAAGGGCACTGCTGCTTCATGTGCTGTCCCCATAGTCTTTGCACTTTCCTGGTGTCACTCTTGAGAACCACCCAACGATGGGATTGCTGCCAGCAGTATTTACACACTGGGTTATTAGCAATTTTTATTCCAGGGGATGCAGATTTTTTAGGAAATTTAGTTGCAATGAGGTTATTTTCCATTGTGTCCTTTAGACTGGACTCCTGGACTCCTGTATGACATCTTTAGGAGACCTCTAAGCAGTAAAACATGTATAATTATGTGTGAAAGGCATCTGTGTAATGACTTTATTTTCCGTTGTGTCCTTTAGACTGGACTCCCGTATTATATCTTTAGCAGACCTCTAAGCAGTAAAGCATGTATAATTATGTGTGAAAGGCATCTAGCAATAACATAACACATGGATCCCAGCAATAAAGTGTTGAGGCTCCGTTTTGATTGATCTGGAGATTCAGAGTGAAGAGTAAAAGCTGCTGCTACCTGAAAGGTTTGCATTTCCATCACCAAAGAGCTCTGTATTTTAGTAGGGCAGAGCTGCACTGCCTTCCAACCCCTTCCCTAGCAAGCCTGCTCTGTGTTCCCTCTTAATTTTGAGGGAGAAGCTCTTTACTGGGAGGACCAGAGAGATGGTCCTTTAGCAAAGCGATTTGAAAAAGAAAAGCCCGAGTTGCTCAGAAGTTCAGGGCATGGAAAATCCCAAAGAAGGGAATTAACAAGCCCAGCGCAGGTGAGTTGCTTAGAGAACCATGATAAAATATGTGAATAGAGAGGAGATCATTGCAGGCTGGGTAACACCATGCTGTGCCCTGTCCTTGGCTTTGCTTTTCTTTGTGCTCTCCTTGGAAGCCTTTGTAGCTTCACAAAGACCTGCCCAGTAGGAACCAGCGAGCTGAAAGCTAAGGAGTTTTATCCAAAGTGTTTTGTGGGGGAAAGGAACAAGATATAACTGAAGAAGCAGCAGCAGCAAAGAGGTTTAGAGAAAAGAGAGGTTTTGAAAATGCCTGAGCTGGAATCTGTTAACAAACTGAGGAATTTGCAAATCCCTGAGATACTAAATCAGGACAACGTGTGTCCTAAGTGAAAGACACGTTTTGCTGTGTTAAATGATGATTGCAACCTGGAAAACGACTTTATTAAAAGGAAATCAGAGCTTGAAAAATGAGCAGGCAATCAGCGGGGCGCTAAGGAAATTAGTGATTATGCAAGTGACACCTTTGGCAGTCTCCGAGAGCTGAATTACAGCAGAGACCAGCACCACATGTACGTTAAAAAAATGTATCTTCCATAAAGAGAAAAACAAGAGGTTGCTGGCAAGCTGCATCCTCCTCAGCCCTGTGCTGCTGCTCCCGCCTGCAGAGCAGCGTTTAACAGCTGCATAGCAGAAAGGAAGCCTTAAAAGTGTTAAAGATGCTTAGGCTGGGGGGAACAGGCCGGCCATGGTCCATAAAGAGCAGGTTGCAGAGGAGGGAGGCAGTGAAGGGCTGTCCTATGGCACGAGCAGCGCCAGGAGGGCCCCTCGCCTGCCGTGCTCTGCGCTTCCCTCTGCCTTCCTTACTCTGGAGCGTCTCCGTCGCAGGCAGCAGCACGGTGAGCACACGGCTATAGCGCGAGTTCGGAATATCAGCACGGAGAACGCGTTTCCTTGTGCTCACGGCTTGCTCCGGAGCACCCCGAGAGCTGTTTGCAACTCCCTGACACCCACCTGGACCTTCAAGGAAGGGGCTGGAAGAGCAGCTGCTCCCCTGGAGCTCGGGAGCTGGGGGCCCGAGCCGCAGCGTGGGCTGGTGGTGGTGAAGGCAGCCCGTGAGGTTCAGCAACGCCCCCGGGACGCGCGACGTCTCCTGAGCTGCTGTCCTCGTTGCGCTGTCCCTGCACACCGTTGCTGCCACGCTGCAGACCGAGTTTTTGATTTATTGGTGTGTGTTTGCTCTGCTGTTCCTGCATTGATCATCTTTCCCCAGTGTAAGTGTGTCCTGGAGTGGCCAGGTGTAACGTACGGAGAAGGCTGAGATGATCCCTGGCCTTGAAAGATCCCACGTGGCTGAAAATAATCCTGGGAATCACTAGCAAGGTCCCGTTGTGGTGCTGGAGAGCTGAGCTCCGTCAGGAGCCCCGTCTGCTCCTGCTCTGCCTGCATCCC